GGTCCTCCAGCATCTAAAGACCTTGGCTCTGCAAGAGTCTCTCAAAGGTGAATCAAAAAGCAAGAGACTAGTGTTTAGGGAGAAGGGTGAGGAGGTGTAGGAAAAGTGTAGGGGAAGATGAAGTCTCGCCACCTTCCCCTTCTAAGGATTCTCAACAAAATTAAAATCAAGCTCAAACCCTGCAGCAGCAGAGCAGGTCGAGGTCAGGGAGAGGTAGGGTTAAAGCAGGACTAGAGTGTAACAAGGCTGTGATATGCATATGTTTATGGGACAGTTAAATTGTCTCTTAAATCACCTCACCAAAGGCACACTATCAGATCAGACATGCCTGTACCTGAGCTACTCACCGAGGCTTGCTTCAGAGCTCATGGAGACAAACAGGCTCTTCCCAGGCACAGCCAGGGATGAGCACAGCTCACCTGCAGACTGGTCAAGTCCTTCAAATGCCAGTTTGTCCTCACTGACTCAAAAGGGAGCTGAGGGTGGGTGTTTAGAAGAGGATGTCTTCCCTGAGGACATCTATACCCCTCCCCCCTTCACCTGCCTGGGAGCAACCTGCTTGTGACTGCAGGAACAACACGACCTGTACTCCCTGCTCTGAACCTTCAATGTTCAGAGGACTTGCTGGATCAGCCCCAAAGCACTATGTAAAATGGCTGGGATGTGTATATTTATATGAATCATATACATTAATTACATAATAGACACCCATGCTCCCCATCCCACATGCACTTTGGTTATGCATAGGACACAAAGACTGAGTGCATTCACTATGAATCATGCAATAAGACTACATCCCTCAGGCAAACTCTCTCTAAAATGACCATTTTCACATATATTCCCATGGTTTCCACTACAATATTATTTAATTAAGACTATTAATCTGCTGGGCCACCAACTTTCACTGTCTTCTGGGGAAGTCTGAGCAGACAGACATTTTAATAAAATATGGGGAATCCTACTCTTTTTATGACTGAGCTGGTGCAATAAGGTAAGGCAATTTCATGGCCTCTTGAGCTTGGTTTTTTAATTTGTTTTTGATATGAACGTGAGACTTATGGACTGAGAGATCACTCATTCAAAAATTGTATGAAAGATGTCACATAATCTTTTTTTGCTTTGCTTTTCAACTAGTGCTGTTGAATACTGCCCTAATACATGGAACACATCAATAATGAGTTGTAGGACAGTGCAAACAGGGCACTGATCCCCATTTGGAAAATAAAAGACGAACACTTTCAGTTTGAAAGCCACGGGCACACATTTACATGTGACTGCAGCATGCATGCAAGCATGTCAGTTGTGAAAAGAAATCAGTCTAGACACTGACAGGACCAGTTCAGCCACATTACTGCAGCCTACCCAAATAACTCCTCAGGGTTACAGCCTGCTGCCCTTTTCCCCTCTCCCTTGGGACGTGGAACTGCATGTACTGCTATGGCAGTTCCCTGTCACCTCCTATTCTATAGCCCCAAACCTCTGCTGATGCTCAGTCTAGTCTGGGATTCAAACACAGGTGGTCTCATCACCAAGAATCAAGGAATCATGGTTGGAAAAGACCATCAAGTCCGGCCGTTAACTCAGCACCACCATGTTCACCACTAAACCACGTCCCTAAATACCTCATCTACATCCTTTTTCGACACTTCTGGGGATGGTGACTCCACCAGTGCCCTGGGCAGCCTGTTCCAATGCCTGACAAATGTTTCAGTGGAGAAATTTTTCCTAATACCCAATCTAAACCTCCCCTGGTGCAACCTTAGATTATGTCCTCTTGTCCTATCCTTGTTGCCTGAGAGAACAGACTGACTCCTACCTGGCTACAACTTCCTTTTAGGGAGTTGAAGAGAGCAATAGGTTACCGCAGAGCCTCCTTTTCTCCAGGCTGAGCCTCCTCACAGCTTCCTCAGCTGTTTCTCATCAGATTTGTGCTCCAGACCCTTCCCCAGCTCTGTTGCCCTTCTCTGGACTTGCTCCAGCATCTCAATGTCTTTCTTGAATTGAGGGGACCAAAACTGAACCCAGGATTCAAGATGAGGCCTCACCAGTGCCCAGCACAGGGGGACGGTCACTGCCCTGGTCCTGCTGCCACATTATTGCTGACACAGGCCAGGAGGCCACTGGCCTTCTTGGCCACCTGGGCACACTGCTAGCTCATGTATCTAATCCCAGGATGGGGAGGAACACCACTGCTTTGGCCATGGGATGGGTGTGTTTCTGGTCAAGGGAGAACCATCAAAAGTAGTTTTTGAGGGTTGCCTCTGACAATAAAACCAGGAGCTACTCTTCTGGAGGACATTATTGCTTTACTAGATAGAATATTTTCAACGTGTGGGTGAACACAACTTCAGCAGTTGTCCAGGCAGAGCCATGGAAGTTTGTAGAAGCTTGTGGGTGGGTGATGTTAAATTGTGGTAGATAGGAAGTTCTGTGCCTGTAGGTGTGACAGCCAAGACCTAAGGGGGAAGTTTTACCCATTTTTCTTCCTGCATGATGTTAGGCAACAGGCAGTAAACATGGCACTCATTAAAATGACCTTGTATACTTTTAATAGCCTCGATAATCAGATTTCTGCCACTGTATCGGAAAGCAAGGTTTGTTTTTATTCAAGGCCTTGTAAAACTCTAATTTCTCCCTCATGCATCAGAGATGCCTGAAGTTTTCTAAGGATTTTAGTGTTTCTTAGCAGTCATTTTCTACCCCCTTCAAAGCTCTCTTCTCTTCTGAAAGATGTGTCAAGTAACTGACTGGAGATTCGCACGTTTCTTTGAGTGTGAGGGATGAACTGGTTGCTGTATAGGGCAGCTTAAAACTTGCATTTCTCTCTCTATTTAGACATAGGAGGGGGCAGATTCTGTCCTCCATCCCTGTGGCACTGCCAGGTAAAAACTCTTGAGAGGAACCGCAGGGTTTGCAGCTGGGGCTGCAACGTGCCTCCTTGCATCCCAAGCATCCAAGCTGGTCCTCCAATGGCGCTCTCTAGTTCCGAAGAGAGAATTTCCATTCTGAAATTCTATTTCCATCAGAAAACACTGTAGACAACCTCTGGCACTTGTGGAAGATCAAAGTACCCTTTTTCAGCCTGGAATCTAACTGGGTGCAGGATCCCCACACTGGGAAAAGTTAAGGGCATTGCAGAGGCACCAGTTGAGCCCCAGAAAGATGAAGGACAAGAAGCGCGAAGGGAACTGACTGCAGAGTACGGCAGAAAAGTTCAGTCCGCGGCCACACAACTTACACAGCCAGGTCTTTTAGTCATTCTGCCTGTGCCCACATGCCAGGCACTCACGTCTGAATACACACAGACAAGCAAGGGCTGCAGGGCAAGCATGCGGCGTACAGCTGCCAGGTCCCAGCCGAGCCTCTCCTGCAGGTATTGCTGCGGGCACAATTGCAAAAATAACCCATTTGACAACACAGACCATCAGGAGGCTCTGACTCAAAGGGAACCTGTTTCGGGCTAAACAAAGCATTTCCTCAGCATCAAGCTGATCAGGTTTTTTGACCCAAGTCAGCGCGTTGCACAGAGAGCCCACAGGAACCTGCTCCACCATCCTCAGACCACATGGAGATCTTTGGCATCTCTGCAAGGCAGAGTGCACTATGGCTGCAGAGGGTTTTGCAGCTGTTTGTTTGAGAAACAAAGCTTCCCTCCTCCAAGATGAAAGAAATCAAGGAGTCTATGCTAATCAAATCCTACATGCCTGCTGGCTGCAGTTCAGCTTGTCAGGGATGCAGCTCAGCGGAGTGATCAACATTTCCAGTGCTATGAGCTCAGTGGAAGGGGAAAACACGACAGCAAGAAATTCACCTGGCTCGGAGTCAAACAGGTGTATGGCAGCAGCATTCAAGATTATAATAATATCTTGCAAACATGCAAAAAATAGATGTAATAAGACTGATACTTTGGTTTTCATTAATGAATCATAAAGGCTTTCTTTACATTACACATGCTTTTTTGGCATACGCTGCTAATATTTCCACACTTGCAAGGTTGGATTTTTAATACTGAGCCTCCCTCCCCTAAGGTTCCCCATTTTTGGCAAGATGTACAAGGTGACTGTATGCCATGACAGGCTCTCTCTTACTTTGGGGCAATCAGATTACTTTACACAGATGGTTTTATCACTGAGACCATTAGAGATGAATTGCGCAGCATGTAAATGTGTTTGATTAAAGAAAAAAGGTCTCAGTTCCTCACTGCTGTCTTTTCTATGTTCCTAAACATATTTCCTCTCTCCTGCATCATTCCAAATGACAATTTGTCCAATCTTTACCTTAAAGTAACTCAGCTTGTTTCTGATAGGCATCTTAAATACACATTAACTAAAGAAACAGGCTTTCTTGAGCTACTGGATTGAAATGCAGGAGAATGAGCCTCAGCCTTAACTATTGAGGAAATAAGGGCCCCTATCTCTCAGGATGCCTAACATCACACACCCCACAAAAGTAAAGCACAAAGAAACAGAGAATATCACAATTAATTTAAAACATAGAATCACAGAATGGTTTGGGTTGGAAGAGACCTTAAAGATCATCTAGTTCCAACCCCCCTGCCATGGGCAGGGACACCTTCCATTTAGACCACATTGCTCAAAGCCCCATCCAACCTTGTTTTGAACACTTCCAGGGATGGGACATCCACAGCTTCTCTGGACAACTTGTGCCAGTGCCTAATTACATGCAAATAATCATCCTCTTGTAGGGGAAATAAAAAAAAAAAATAAAAAATTGTTCATAGAATCAGGTTTACAACTTAAAAATAGCCTGATCTGAAATGGACTTTGATTCATTCAAGTGACACATGCTCAGAACAACACAGCAGCATTTCCACCTCAAAAAAAAAAAAAGGGACTTTGACCCCTGTCTGCCATGCAGAAACTCTAATATCACTGCTGAGCTTTGCTCTCCTTGCTAAGGTTTGTCTGAGGCCACGGAGGCAGCCGCTGCCAGTCCTGTTCCTCTCTGTGTAATTGTTTTAGGCAAAACACAGTCTTTACCTGAGAGGCGTCTGGGCACATCGGTAATGGCTGGAAGTCCTGTGCCTCGAGTGGAGGACAGGGGAGTTGTGGAGTGAATGGACGGTGAAGTCATCTGGCTCAAGTAGGATGGGTAAGACTGGTCATAGGACCATGGCGGGGATGACTGCGCCTGCCTGGGGTCTGGGGAAAACAAACAAACAAAAAAAAAAAAAAAGAGAAAAAGAAAAGAAAGAGAATTTTTTTAAAAGGAAGAAAAATTTTAGGGTATCAACAGCCTAACTGAAAGAAGTGGATTTACTGAACATACATACTATCAGTGCTACGAGGAATGAGAATGTAATGAAACACAACTTGCTCCTCTACAGCTCAACCCTTTCAAGCCTTGGTCTGTGCCTTTCCCTTCCCAGAACAACTTTTTGGGGAAATGAGCAGAGCAGAGAGCAGAGTTTTAAAAGATCCAGCAGCTGTGCTGTGTCTCTCTTCCAACAGTGGTATATCGAGAATGGCCAGTCCTCAAGGTTTCAGACAGAAGCAGAGAGCAAGGATGAGCCCCAGGTCTGAGCTTAGGAAGTGGACATCATACAATCATAGAATCATTCAGTTTGGAAAAGACCTCTAAAATCATTAGGTCCAACCATTAATCCAGCACTGCCAGGTCCATGACTTGCCTCTAAGCACCACATCTATAAGTTTTTTGAACACTCCCAGGGATGGTGACTTCACCACTTCCCCGGCAGCCTGTTCCAATGCCTGAACACCCTCTCAGTGATGAAATTTTCGTAGCATCCAGTCTAAATCTCCCCTGGTACAACCTAAGGCTGTTTCCTTCAGGGGTGAGGAGACTCTACAGACAGCATTTGACATGCGTGTCAAGCTGTTATACAGTTCAAACACCACACAGTAGTGTTTTCAATGCTGAAAATACTAAGCAAAGAGCAAAATGTGATTAATCTTATCAGCAATCCATCCAAAAATGTCACATTTGGATACTGGCCCAATTACTTACAGTTCCCTCAATTACAAAATATGAAATCAAATGGTTTGGGGGAACTATTGGAAGCTAATGATCCCTTTTGATGTACTTGTGACAGCCCACTGTGGGGGAAATGATTTTAAGGATAAATAGAGTTTAATGTTTTCTGAAGCACTTATGGAATAACTAAGTGAGAGAGATGGAGACCTAGTTTTACTCACTGGTGTTTGGATTTATAAACCTTTTGTTCTCAGTTAATATCTGATGATAAAGATACCACTGAATGCCTCATAAATTATGATTTTTATTTCTTTACATCAATAAAAACAAAGCACTTTGAACCCCAAAGTTTGTTTTGAGCACTCCACAATAAACAGAAAACTATCTCTGAACCAACTCATAGAAATTGTAGCACACCTCTTCAAATCCTGCCCAGTATTTTCAGGGAAGCACATCAGGCTCATTCCACTTGAAGAACAAGCTCTATCAGAGCACTGTGCTAAAGCCCTGCTTTGCAGACAGCAATGTGACAGCCACATGGTGTAAGCAAAGGCACTTCTTCAGGAAATTCAACTTTTTTTTCTTTTTTTTTTTTAAACTCCTTTCCCTGTTCTTCCACACAGCAAAACCTTGTAGATTCAGCTATTCCTTGTTTATTATTTCTGTTCAGACATGATTTGTTTAAAGAGATGTCTGGAAAGCAGATACTTCCTCGAAGCAAAATAACTATATAGATATATATAAAAAAACAACATTCCAATTTAATTTTAAGAGGATTTTCCTGGAGTTTGCCATTTATATTAGAGCTGAGTAATATAAATGGTTAATATAAACTCCTCAGAAATGCAAAGGACACTTGATCATTAAATGTAATGAACTTCTTTGTTTTAACATTTTCAAGGCCAGGATTGTATAGATTGGCACAGTTTCAAATCTGACTGACTGCTTGTTGTTACATCTGATATCGACATATTTCTCTGCCTCATTCCACTACAATAATCCACCATGCAGTCAATGGTAAATGATCTTCAACTGGGAACAGAAAGCTTAGGCTTGCTGGGAAAACAATCTTAAAATTAATGATGTATTAGGAGCACAATCTCAAATCCAAAATCCTTCAAACTCTAATAAGAGTTTTTCAATCTCTGCTTCCGAATCCAAAACAAAGTCTCTTAAAGTTTTGGGGTTAGGTCAGCTCCAATGCTGGAAGGAAATAACGTAGCAGGTAAAGGCTGGGTTAAAAAATTCACAGTAGAAGATGTTTTTACATCATTTTGGTCTAAGACAGTGGAAACCTTAGGAGAGGAACTGCATTCTGGAGATTCATGCCACTCTTGGTGGTGTAATCCTTGTGGCACAAGAAGCTCTTGAGCATTTCTGGCACCCTCATTACTTTGAACACCCATGCAAGACTTGGTTTTACACTTAATTTCCTTAATCCAGCAACTGTGAATGCCTGCATGGACAAAAGAATGATGAATGGCAAAAAGTTGTCTTTCAAAGGCTTATGTGGTATTTCAAAACAGTATCATACTGTGCTGTCAGAGGCAGGATATGAGGCTGGATGGAGTCAGTTGAGCCCAAAACATATCATACATTCTTACAATATCTACCTTAAATAGATCAGTCTTCTCAGGGAACAGGAAATAATGAAGAGGAAAATACTCAACCAAATTGAACATCAGATGATGTATCAGAGCTCAGTGACTGAGGAGAAGGTCACAGTACCCCAGGCTAGAGGGTTACTACGATTCCTCCACATCAAGGTGCAGCTGAGGTCATGGTTGAGGCAGGCTGGAGAATTTCGTCCTGGGGCTGACTGGCTCAAGTGTTATCTTTGGCCCGCCGGGAAACCCAAAAGTGAAGATACAAGTTTCACCAGAGTAAATGCCCTAAAGCCAATCTCTGCTGACTGATGGCGGTCAAGGCTTGCACACAGATACGAGAGAAGAGAGCGGTGAAACACCATTGCCTTTGCCAAGTCAAAGGTGACCCATTAGCCCACAGGGCAAACGTCACTGCTCAGCAGCATTGCCCAATCCCCAGCAAAAAATGCCATAAGACAGAGCCCAAAGCTGCCCCATCTAGTCCCTGAAGATGGACATGCAGCTGGGTCCCACGTGGCATCCTCTAGTTCCACCAGAAGATGGTCCTGGCAATGATGCTGGAGCAGTGACTTTGGCCACTGAGGCCCAGTCAGCCCATTTCTTCTGGTCCCACACATCACCAAACTCCCTTGGGCAAAGAAGGTGATGGGAACACCACAGGGATGTGCCAGCCACCACAACAGCACTTCCAGGGCAGATCCACACAGATGCTTCTGAGGGAAACACAACAACGCTCTCCTCTTAGGAGGGTCACCTCCTCCTCGCTTGGGCACAGAAGGGGTGGGATGACTGTTTAGCACATACCATTGGGGAAGAAGCTATGAGTGGATTTGTGAGAGATTTTCCTTGGCCTTCTCCACCACAGACCAACTTCCCCATTCACTGTGGCTGGTGGGCCCACACATGTCCACAGGGTCCCTGTGGACCACGGACTTTGCACTGTCATCCAAAGCACCACGTGCTCTGCAGGCACAGCACATCTTCCCAATCACAAAAAGCCCAGAGCAGATGAGAAACCTTAAAGCTCTGAGGCAGAGTGAATGTGGATTCCTCCCTAAAGGAATACCTCCAAAGCAAGGGAAAGCATTAATATAAAAATAAAATTACAGCTCGGGAGAAGGCCCCCCCGCCTTCCCGTGCAGCAGCCACTCTGAGCTGGCATTTACACTTGAAAACTTTGGAGTGATTACTGAGAGCAGTCCTCCTTTTGTAAACATTTCTGTTATGCCTGCGTGGGTGTGAAGGGAAGTGCGGCTCTCAGCGTATTCCTTCACAGCAGGGCATATCATGGGTATGCTAAGAAAGCCTGGGCACAGTTCAGCTGAAACAAATCAGCAGGGCGAGGCCTAAACTAATGCACAGACAGCTCCATCCTGTTTGCACTTCCAGGTGAACCTCAACAAATTGGGAAATATTGAGTATTGCATATTATTTTGTGTCTGGGTTTTACTGTCTCACTTATAGTCATGAGAGATATCCAGGTTTCTTGACCCTTTGTGGTCTGTGACTGACTGTGTCAAATGGACTGTGGAAACTGATGTTTAATGGACAATAAGTGTCTTTAAGAATCAGTCCAAGATTGGATGCACTATATAAAACTAAAAGTAAAAATGAAAGAATGGAAAAAAACCTCTAGTGACCCATTCTCCCACCAACAGCATTGACTCTCCAGCACCATGACTTCTCTTCTTTCAATTCTTTCAGAATCACACATTTTGGGTTGGAAGGGACCTTAAAGATCATCTAAAGTTCCAGCCCACCCGCCATGAGCAGGGATACCTTCCACGAAGTGCACACAGAGAGAAGAAAAAACCTGCACATATCCCTGAAGAACAAGTTTTACCACCACTTTGGCGCTGGATTATGAAGCACAACAATTCACTATAGGAAAAAGTCAATTCCCCATTTTCCAAGCTGAGTTACATGACCAGAGCATGATCACAGGCTGGCAGCTCCTCAGCGTACCATCTATAAAACCCAGATGTCACACGTCTCACTCTCATCTAAACCCAGCCATCAGCTCTAGCACTGGCTGCTGCTGGTTGTAACAGTGCTACTGCCAATAGTAAAAAACAAGCTGTCTGGAGCTATCTTTGGTAAACACTTAAAGCAAATATCCTCACTTCTGATCGTAACAAAAGCAAGATGACTTTCTGCATGAGTAACTCAACTATTGTTGTAACAACAACCCCCCCGGCAAAACAACAACAACAAAATGCAATCTCCTCCTCTTCTCTGACTATTTCTTAGGCATTCTTAAAAGCCAAGGGCTTCATGTGAATTGCCCAGTTCAATCAATGAAGTCAAATCCAATGGAGTTACACCCCAATGTACAGAAGAGTAATTGAGACCAGATTTTGGTCTGAAGAACCTCTAAACCCATTTCTCCTTCCACCTCTTCAAGAGTCACATTTCTAAAAGGAAAAAAAAAAAAGATAAACTGAATGAATCATGCTACTAGGACCACTAAATTGTAAAAGGGGGTATGGGGGGGAAATAAAGTTAAAAGAATGCTTTAATAGGAGGGATACAAGCTTTACCAAATGGAGGTCCACAATGGCAACTCTCCAGTTGCCTGAAGGATGCAATCCATTTGCATTAAGTACAGCAGACTGCAGCCACCTTTGGGTTGCACTAGCAATCCCAGCTCCACCACCTCACCTGATGAGTCTTGTAGCTTTTACTCCACATTATAGTGAGTTGAAGGTATAATTCACCCTATAAGCCTATTACTTGGGCAATTTCTAAATTATCTATTCCAAGCAACTATGTACCTTGTCCAACGTGCTCTCAGATGGACGTGCACCAGCTATAAAGTGGTGGGTGCTTCAAAGAGCTGCTGGTCCCAGATAAAATACAGCCAATCCCTGGCAGGGCACTTGCACAGTGCTGGTCTAATAACAGCTACACCAATTCTGTTTCAAACCTGTCCTGTACCTGACGAGAGACCCTGCTGTCTGAGGCAGATGCTGCACAGCTCCATATCCAGAGCCAAGGACAGTGCTGGGGTGAGCACAGCTTTTTACCTTCTCCCTTACTCTGCAAAAGGACAGTGCCTGCAAGCCCTGAATGGGGAATTAAGGATGGCCCAGCTGGTACCATCCTCATCCTCTGAGAGTCAAAGGTGCTTTCTGCTCATGGTCCTCTGAGCAGACTCATAGCTAACAGTATCCCTGAAACCAGCCCCTGCCTGCCAGTGGACATGTGTCCCCTCACTACCTTCCAGGTTAGCCAGCTCCAAAGCCTTTAAATCTGATTCCTACCACCCTAAAAATTGTAAGAAATGAAAGCATAACATCCCTGAATTGAATGGGGAGGGGGAAGAGGAAAAGGGAAAAAAACCAGTTCACAGGACGTGCCTTCGAGGGCTGTTATTTCAGTGGTGAAAGTCACAGGTTGCCTATAGATCAGCTGGTGCCACAGTGGTGATGGAGCATGAAACCTCACTTAACTCCCACTTTGCTGTCCCTCAGCCCATCGAACACATTCCTGCCTTGCACCCGTGGCTTTTCCTGGCCTGCAGAAGCTAATCCTCACCAGCGTTTCAGAGAAATAAGTTTTCCTCATTTTGTACTGGAATATTGATGCCACAGCTCAGTGTCTGAATGAGAACGTAACTCGATACATGAGCAAGTTGTGTGAGTGCCGTTAGGGAGAGGGAAAAAAATAAAAAAGCAAATATACCAGTGTCCAAATGTGAACAGACAGGATTCCTGATTTACGGGCAGCAAGCAGGGCTCAAATTGGATCTGCACTGCCTCAGCAAAGGCATCTGCTTATTGGACCATTTGTTTTTTAATCACCCTTCGATGTAGCTTTTGCTGAATCCTAGTTAAAATGCCATGTTGAATAAGGGCAACTCTGTGCCTTGTCCTGCCACAGTCCAGTCCAGTGGTAGGTTAAGGACTGTGCTGTGATTTGTACAACCTGTACTCTGATACTCCAGGAAAATAAACACAATCTACACAGAGAAAAGAAATATAAGAGTGATCCCCAAAGTGCTGAGTTCTCTCAGGCTCAGGTGTGGGCCAGCCAGGCTTTAAATATTATTCCTGTTTAATCATGCAACAGCTATGTAAGACTTCAAGTGGAACGAAACAAAAACAGTTTATGTGCTTACTAGCAATAATATGGATTTTGTCATAGGAAACCAGTATTTACTGTTCAAGTTATTACGAATTAATTATTTTCCCTAAATTATTAGGTAAAAAGATTATGAAAGCTATTTCTAAAGGAATGCTTGGTTAATTCCAATAAAGGTAATAAAAAAATCCCTGTTTTTCAGAGAAGGGTCTAGTCTCCTTTTAATAGATACCCCAAGGCAGTGTCCATGTTAAGAAGCCAGTGGTATTCCAACTGCATATCCCACCACATCAAGGAAACTGGTGTTGGACACCCAAACACCTCGCTCCCTACCACCACACCGAACAGGCAGATGTTCAACAATTTCCCACACAACACCCGATCAAAGCGGTGCCTCGTCCACGCCATCACCTTTGTCTCTCATTGGCGTGGTCTGTGCAGCAAAGATCATCCCTTCATCCCAGAAGAACTCGGAGGGGCCGTCCGCAAAACGCACCCCAGCGCTTTGGTGGAACATCAAAGCACGTAGAGCTTTACAGATTGCAATCAAGGTCCTGAGGAGCACCAAAAAGCTTTGTGGGAAGTCAGTGCAATTCGCAGAGCTCGCACCCCTGTAACATGCTCACACAATGGCCTTACTAAATGGGAGGGCTACCAGAGAGCTAATGAGGAGCCTTTGGGGGCTGGGTGTTTGACTTTACTAAACTGAGGAGGAGAATAACATAAGGGTGGGGAATATCATGGCAAATACTGTATCAGACCACTTATTCACTACAAACTGAGTCCTATCATTTTGGGGGAAATGAGAGCAATTTGGGACGCTAATGTATCCCATGACCCTGAGTTTATCCAACAATAAAAACACATAATCCACAATGGATGGGAAAGCCAGCCTGCCTCCCTTGGCTCAGCTCACTTCCCTCTGCCCTACCAGCATTGCATTTTCCCTCTCTCGATGAAGTCTCAGCTGGTGCTTTGAAGTGCTGACTTAAATTTGCAGAGAAGGCAGTGAATGCCACACAGCTTTGTTTCCAGTCAGGCTTATTTAAAGCTCATCTGAAGTTTTCACCTCCCGGATCTGTAAATGCTGCTGCTGCTTCATAACGAGGCAGAGAAGTAGTCTATTAATCAAAGCCAGCAGAACGTTTTCTACGGGAGGCATTTATGTGAAGGAAAGCAGCATATGAGGTTACACTTAGTTAGGAAGAAAATTACAAGGGGATCTCAGTTCTTGTGCTTCGGGGCATAAGCTGATCACCAGATGAGGTCAGGAAGAATTTCACCCTCTTTAGTTCCTAGATATAGTGTTGCACAATAGGTAAACTATGGAGGCTCAAGGAAGAAGGAAAAAAGCTGCTTATAGCCTGGATTTCTCCCCCTGCTTTCTTGGGAGCTATGTCCAACAAACACTGTCAGACAGAAGATGGTTAGTTAGAAAAACTATTGGCCTTTATTCTGGCAGTTCTTACTCAGAAAATGATGCGCACAAGAGCCCTGACTTCACATGTTCTATGAACAAAATACTAAGCCTGGCCAAAAAAACCTGCTCTGAGAAGCTGGAGGGCATCAGATACCATGTAATGGGTACAACTAACATATTTATTATATTATAAACATTTTACACTAGTTAAAGTTAGACTTCTAGATATGGGAGAACTTTGCCATAGCTCATGGGAGCAATTTTTTTGTTGCAATTCCTTGAGTGCTTTGGGTTCAAATTAACTCACTGACTTCTCTTTCTTACTGCAAATTAATAAACCAGTTGAACTTAAAAAAAAAAAAAGGAGAAAAAGAAAGAAGAAGAAAGCCACAACACTTTGTTAAAACCACTAAGTTTCAGCTGGTATCATGTCAAAACCACTTGAAACATGAAACTAGAAATCTTCCTAGGTTGACTCAAAGACTATGTCTATACTAGGAGCGCTTTACCAGGAAAGGAATGCTGGTGTATAATGCTGGCAAAGGACTCCTGGTGTAGGTGCAACTATAGCAGCAGAACTGAGTATTAAATGGGTCTAGGAAATTTGAGCCAAGAGTTTTGCTGACAGACTTGTATCCAGGTGAAGCTCACCAACAGTTCGAGCAATTGGTCAGGGGTAACACCTCTTCACATCCTGGATAGACACAAATATGTCAACACAAATTCTGAGTCTGGAAATGCCCAAAATTAGGTAGAGATTGTTTTGAAACTATTCTAAAAAAATGTAACTATCTCTGAATTTAGAAAAAAAATTACAAAATTGGTTTGTTTTGAAACTATTTTAAAAAATGTAACTAGCTCTGAATTTAGAAAAAAATGACAAAATTGGTTTATTTTGTAGGCTTCGCAGTTTTGCTGCAAACTTCTGGCTTAGCTTCAGTTAAACAACTTATTTCAGTCTTCTAATCTGTGACACATGGTGGGTGCTTTATGATTTCTCTCAGCACAACGAAATCTGTCTCTCAGCATGCAATCATAAATGTTGCATACAACCCCCACAAGCAACCTTTGGAGACTTCTCCATAACCCAGTTCATTTATTGTAACCGTGGTCAGCACTGGTGCTGGAAGGAAACTGCCATGTGAGAAGATTGTGTTATTATTCCGACAGAAAGACTATTAAGTGCTGGCTGCTCCCCTCCACATGGGTGCAAAATAACAAGGCTGGATAAAAATGCTCATTCTATTATACGCTAATAAGTACTATTGCAACACAGAGAAGGCAGAGCAACATGGCAGTTAGAATTTCACCAGATTCCTACCCAATTTACCTGGATTGACTATGTTAGATTTATGGTAAAAAGATATTAAAAGAAAAAGAATAACATTTTCAGCTTCAAGCACTACAGAAAAATCCACTTCCCACCTAGCTTTGCTTGGAAAACATCTCTCACTCTGTAACAGCCTATTTGACTGCAGCTGAGACACAAATACCCATAAGCAATTACTACCATTGCCTGTGCAAGTCAAACCTATGGTTCTGTCTCTTACCTGTAATCTGACTCTGTCCTTGTGGATTAAAAGGACTTGGTGCAGAGTTCAGAGAGGGCCGTGGGCTCTGGGTCGGGACCCCTACTCTCATACTGGGATGAGGAATGCGCCCTAAATCACTGAGGCGTTCAGAGAACAAACTAGGTTTAGAGTCATCAAGCTTCTGTCTGTGCCCTGGAAACAGCAAATCATAAAATAAAAGCGTTAATAACAAGATGTAGTAATTTAAAACACCCCCCCAAAAAAACCCCAAAATGGCCTCTAAGGACCTGTTATTAGATTTAATGGATTTACAGGTTTCTCAGCTACCCCTGATAACACAGAAACATCATTGGGGGTTTGTGTTTTGGACATGGTTGTGCTGGTGAAAGCCTTATCGAACACAACAGTGCCCATACACATGTGTAACAGATTGCAATTTGGATCAAAATAAGCACTTATCAGGACACTCACACAAGGTCTTTTTTGTTGGTGGTTTTTTTTTTTTCTGCTGTAACTACACAAGATAGTTAAGAGGCAAACTTCCCCTTCCAATAGCAAGCCTCATGAGTACATACAAGTTATCAAGTGGGACAATTATTCCACGCCTGATTCATATGTTGTGGATTTTTGCAAGCTTTTCTTCTCCCTTTATGTTTTTTTTCTTTAACTCTATCACAGTCAGTCATTAGCTTTCATTCCTCTGGGATATTTTCCAAAAAGTCAATAGTCCCTGTCAATCCAGAAGAGCAGTATCCAAGGAAAATCTTCAAAGCTGCTGGCCGAGATGGGTCCTTCACACCCTGTCATGGTCAGCCTTCAGTGCTGCTACTACTCTCCCCCAAAACAGGCCAATTGCCCCTGGAAATTTTTTGGAACACTCATTTAGGGATGTTTTGCTGTCAAAATGTAAATTAGGGAAATACCAAAAGCACCAGGATGCCACCAGTGGTACTGCTCATGTTGTCACTGAGTTGGTTCAAGACTAAAGACTTTATTTCTGTAGTGGTTGTATTTTTGCTCCTAGGTTTAATTTCTTTCCAGAGGAGTTTTAGGATGCTCCTTGACCAATGGCGCCTTCCAATGTGAGGTGCAGAAGGTGTTATTTCTATTATTTAACACACAGAGAAACAGACATGCATAAAGATTAAGGACAGGACTAATTTTGCTTAACTTCAGCCATTCATAAATCAGGCATCTAGTCTAAACTCTTCTAATGTAGACTTCCTCTTCGGTTAATGGAAAGAAATAGCTACTTCCAGAGGGCAATTCATCTCATTTGTCTCTGACACCTATCTTAAAACAGCATGATTCACCTTCTGAATTTGCTTTCTCTTCCTTCTCTGATCAGAGAGGGAGCACACATGACTGGTTTAATTAGACACCGTCGCCATTAGTCAACATTAAATGGAATGAAGCTTACCCTAAGTCACCAACCAAGGTCACACAAAAAGCCTCTGCAGAGCTGAAAGGGGGGCCCAGACCCCCTGACTGTGACCCAGAACCACATCTGTCTCCATCCCTGTGAGCAGTGCCAGGGCACAGGCACAAGCAATAACTGGGTGGGATATTTTAATGCTTTTAACAATAAGAAGGGCCTCTGGAAGGGTTTGGGCTTGAACCCTTCCAGATGATCCCTAGTGGCTTGAGGTAATCTGTGTTGTCCCTCAGCAGTGTGAACACAGCCATCTGCCTGGAGGCTACAAGAGTCCAGCTTTGCTGACATGGGCAGATTGTCCCATCAGTCTTTGGGCCAGAGAACCAATTCCTGCACTGGTTAATTTTTTTTAGAAGCAGAAATGAGGCCACTTGAGATTGAGCTATCAGACTACCACTGCTAAAAAAATAAAAATTTTTAATGGTAACTCTCATCACAGTACTAACTACATGGGTTCACATCATCTAACTGGGACTATGGTGCCTTCATGGCACATTGGCAAAGCAATATCCAAATTAGATAAATCCAAACTGAATTCAGGGAAATTACATTTTTAGATAGAGGAGTCGGGTTGCAAGATGAGGAGAAACTTGATGGAATTTAACTTTGGAGAAACTTCTCTAGCAATTTAAAAAATAATAATTAATTGACCCATTATTTGGTACTTTGAAGTATGATTTCTCTCTCCCAGGATGACTCAGTCTAAAAGCACAGTGATTGGCAGGAGCGTTCTCCTCAAGCAGAAGGTGCTGCTCCATGTTAGAGCTGACATGGGTGTCTACTTCTCGCTTCAGGAGGGATCAATCACTTTAAATGGGGAACCATTTTTGGTGGGCTGGTAAAAACTCCGTAACAGCAGCTTAATTAACAACATAACATCTAACTTGTATTCTTTAGCTTTATATTCTCAATGTATCCAAATTACAACTTGTACAAGTTGGGTCTGCTATATCTGAAAAAATGACTTTCACATACACATGCAGTCAATATTCTCTTGGCATTACTCCATCTTCTTTTCCTCCACGATTTTTATGTGTTTGCTTTTCCCCTTGCCTGTCATGTTTTTCACTCTTTTTTTTTTTCTTTTCAAGGCATCCTCTTCCCTTCCTCTTTTCTCTTCTGCTCATTCCTAATCATGATTTGGCAAATTGAGCAACCTGGTCTAGTGGAAGGTGTCCCTGCTTATGACAAGGGCTTGGAACGTGATGATCTTTAAGGTCTCTTCCAACCCAAATCATTCTGTAATTCTGTGAAATCTGAGAGGGCTCAAAATAAGGCAGACATGATCAGCCCATCTCTGGTCTCACGCACCAGGGCTGACTTCAGCTGGAAATTAATCCACCCCCAAAGTAAATTGCAATTTGAATATCTGTAGAAAAATCCCACATTATGTTCATATAGTGCCCTTTTCCTTAAGGAAAGTCACTGAAAGTCACTAAAAATCACTAAGAAACTGATGCACAAGCTATTTTAACTATCTTCAGATAACTCAATGAACACTTACTACATAGTTCACCACCACTCCTGCACCAACCTATGCCCAAAACCTCCCAGCCCTGTTTTCATCTCGCTCTGTTTGGTCATGCATAGCTCTGCCAGAGAAGATTTTATATTTAATTATGTATATTATTTTTATAATGAACTAGGACTGTCACAGAAAGACAAAATTCAAGAGGATAGCAGTGCACTTTAGGGTAGGTAGGGTAAAAAAAAAAGGGGGGGGGGGAAGAAGAGAGGAAAAAAAAGGAGAAGGGAAAAAAGAATTAAGAAGAAAGAACCTCACATCTGGTCAAATTGAAATGATCTAGAGATGTGTGGGTTTGGGTGTTGCCGGGGGCAACCTGCCCCCCCCCCCCCCAAAAAAAAAAAAAAAGAGTAGGAAAAGAGAGCTCTGTGCACATCTGGAAGACCCCAGGCATCAATGGAACTGCAAGTCCCCAGAAAGCAGCAAGGGGCCAAAGGCAGACTTGCCTTCCCCTTCTGGACATTTAAAATTTAGGGTTGTAACACGGAGTCATGTTGTGACAAAGAGATCCACAGAAGGAGCCACACTCCCCCAGTGAAATGTCCCAGGGAGACAAGATGACATTGCAGCTTCGCACGTCATGGGTTACTCTGCTTTGATAAAAGCTGAGACGTGCTCACACTGAAAGTCAGCAGGAAACTCAGCAAAACCTTCTGAATTCAGGAGGTGCTCACAAAGGCGTGTGGGCAACTTAAATATCCTGCCTTGATTCCTGTGCAGAAAAAAAAAATCCTATTAAGTACAGAGAAGCCAGGAGGTATTGGCTGAAAACAGTCTAAAAAGACCTTCTGAGCAGCACATAAGCAGCAGCAATGAAATATGTGATACATGTTTAAAACTCATTCCACAAGCTGCTTTTCATCTCTCATTGATATATGTGTCCGTTGACAGAGAAATTCCTGATCCCAGGGGAGTGTGCTAAGAAAAGCTGTATTCCTCAGTCTCAGTATTGAGGCGTAATTTTATTTCAGGAAAAAAGATTTAGGGTAGCAAGTGTGGAGAGCTGAGGGAGAATCCATGATCTGCTGCAGCAGTGGGTACATTAAAAAGCAATATAAAATCTGTGTGAAGAGTAGAATAAAATAATGCTGCAGCTATCCCAATGCTTACAACACTGCATTTAGTGCCTGTTGCTGTGTTACAAAGATTAATTTGTGGAATGGATTGGGCTTGGAGAGGGGAAAAATGTTTATGGGCACAGGCAGTATTTGATACAAAATGTAGTCAAAAAGATGGAGGCTGTTCTGTGAGTCTCTGAGTAAGGATGGGACTCAGTAGCCTTTGGAACTGGTTAGGTCACAGGAGAGGAGATAGGAAAGAGATGAAAAAATTGAGAATTCATAGGCAAAAGCTAAACAAGCTGTTATGATTTGTCTGCTGGCACAGTACAAAACACACTGGATATCAAAAATCCATTATTCACTCCAAAATGACAAGACATATTCTGATCTTTCGCCACTACTCAGCTATTTCAAGCTAAATACCAACTTAAGTATTAGATTCTGGAGGCAGAAGCATTGCCATTAATCCCTTCCAGTGCCAATTTTGGCCATTTTACATGAATCAAACCAGAAAACAGTACTGAGAGAGCGTCATTAGGTCAGTGCAAACTGCAGCCAGTCAGCCAGTGCCTGAGCTGCTGCTTCTGCTCGCCAGCCCGGGATGGCCTCAGAGTATGTTCACATGGCCCGTGGAAGCTGATGCTCAATTATCACATCCCAGACACGGCAGAAGATGTGAGAAGGCTTCTTCTCCTTCTTAATCATTTCAGTTTAAACTAGGCAATGGAATGTCTCCCAGATCAAAGCAAGGCAATCTTGAGTCTGCTGGATGTGGTAACTGGAGAGGGACGTGAGCTCTTCTCTCATCCCTGAACTTCCACCACTCTGCTGGAGAAGGCAAGATGTAAATTGGGCCATGGAAGAGGCTGACTTGCAGAATGTAAATGTGGTGTTGATGCTTGAAGATTTTTACCTCCTTGGGGAGGAGGGGTGTGCGTTTTTATCTTTCAGCTTGTGGGTGTGGAACTGAAAACTAATCAGATTATGCTACACGTGGCCTTGCCAGATGCTGACACTCAGGGACTCCCTTTCTTTGTACCGTGTACACCACCCACCAGCTTTTTTGTGTGGGTTTTTTTTTTTTTTTCTGGTACCAAGGAGATCTGGTTACCAGATTTTCAGCAGATGCTTTTATCACTCTCCAGTGGGTTAGCTATTTTCAGTCATCGCC